AAGTATGAGGTGAGGAGAAAATAAAAGAGCATGTTCATGTAAATAATACTGAAAGAAAGAAGTGACACAGTTCTGTAATTATAACTCTGTGGTAGCACCCAAAAGTTCAATATTTGACTTGATAACGGGCCAGCTCCATTCATAGATTTACCATGAGACTTCAACAGAATCCAAGCATTCCATGTTTTATCCATTTTAGCCACGCACCCACCCTATCGTGGCCTCTCAGTTTCTCTGTTCTAACAAACTAGGTCACGTACTTCACCCTTCATAGATGCGAGTATTGTAGGAGAACCTATAAATCATCGTCTTGACACAGTTTATATATTTGTGTTGGTTCATATCATTGTGGTTTCTAGTGTAGTTCTTTGCACTATTAGAGACGCTACTTTAAATTCCAACACCACCATTCCCCACTGGGTTAGGATTTTAAATAATATGTGTTTGGCCAAAATAGTTTGAATGGATTCTTACGTGATAAGAATTTAAGAAAGAATTTTTATGTTCTCTAAAAGCAGAAAATATGTAAGAAACGGAGAAAGGCCCATGATTACACCAAGTACTTGCCAAGAGCTGTCAGCATTTCAGAAAAAGTGAAGAAGCACAAAAGATATCTTTAAATAGTGTATCATAAATCTATTGCTTATCAGAGAAAAGTGATTTGTTTTGAGAAGATGCATGTTCCACATCACATGATACCATTCTTGTATGCTTCAAACACATTATGTCTTGAGCATTCAAGTCTTTCGGTTTTTCAGAATCAACTAGGTCTCCCCCTCTAATACGCAAGAAATCTCACACAAGACTTTAAACCCTTTATTTTATTGAAACAGGAGCAGATTTTTTGTTTTACTACATCAGATTGCGAGCCGTTGATTTTGTTTTGTTTATCTTTTAAAGTATGTTCATGAAAAGTTGCATGTAACCTTTATTGTGCCCAGCTGTGTGCATGAGCCAGGTTAGCTTGGAATGTAAGGAAATTGACTAAATGTGATACAGGACCAAATTTGGTGTCTGATGACATTTTTTTTATGGTATCACTACTTTCAACTCCTAATGCATCTGTCTGGTTGCAAAAAATTCAGCATAATTAACCTACTGTAAATTATCAGGAAAATTAGCTTTTGAGCCTCATAGATTTGTCACTTTTGCTAGCAGATGAAAATCTGTTAGTATCTTTTTCAGTTTCTGAAGTGGTTGTCTCATTTTTATGAAACTCTCTAGAATTAACTGATACTAAAAATTGTCATTTGAATTATACTTTGAGCCATGTCAGTCTATCATTATTGTCAACACAGTGTTGTTGTTTTTTCCATATTTTCTTTGATACTATAATGTTTACGAATGTCACATTCTTTTTGTGTGATTTTATTTAGGAAATGCGCCAGCTGGCCTGGCGCTGGTCTCCAGATATTCGCCAGATAGACCTTGATGTGAACCGAACTTATCGTGACCACATTATGTTTCGTGAACGTTATGGACTCAAGCAGCAGGCACTTTTCAATGTTCTTGGAGCATACAGTGTGTACAATCTAGAAATAGGCTACTGTCAAGGCATGTCTCAAATTGCAGCCCTTCTCCTCATGTATCTTAATGAAGAAGATGCTTTCTGGGCTCTATCTGTGCTTGTCTCTGACAAAAAGTATTGTATGCATGGTAAGTAGATCCATTTTTACTGTCACTTGTCATTTTGTTTGCTCACCACTGGACCCAAGGTTCGCGAGTTCAAACCTGACCTAGGTTAATGGATTTTTAAGGGTGATAAAAATACATAGCACAACTTCCTTCAGAGGGGAAGTAAAACTGACGGTCCCATGTTGTAGATTTACGGCATGTAAAAGAACCTTACAAGCATGAACGAGATGTTTCGTAAGCAACATTCAGTGGCCATTTCTCACCCAAGTCTCTCCTGATTCACTACTAGATGGCTCTAGCAGACAAAAATCAGGATTGAGTAGGAATTGTGCAGAGGCAGTGGGCGTGTCACTCACTACTCATAAATTCACACTTCAGTAGACAAAGAAACCTCCCACATGTGAGGAGGCCAAGGCTTGGCTTCACGCTGGTGTGCCATGGAGTCAGTCAGTCATGGCATAATTATTAAATATCTAATGGCAAAATTCTAGTTTGAAATACCGAAAAAAAGAGACTGCTTGGCAAACCTATGCATATATGGGTGGATAAGATTAAAATGTACTTTGAAGAAGTATTGTGTGATGATGTGCATGGGATTCAGCTGGTTAAAGCTAGAGTTCAGTGGCAAGCTGTTGTGAACATGGTAATGAACATTCAGGTTCTGTAACAAGGAATTTCTTGGCCAGCTACGCTGCTACAAACTTCCTGGTAAGCTCTGCTGTATGTTAATCAGAAAGTGGTGGAAAATATTCATGAAGGATAATGTTAGGAAACAGAAGGAAGTTCCAATGAAATAATGTGCCAAAGATCTCAGATTCAAGACCAGCTAGATTCATTGCAAGATTTTACACTTGCCAACCTCAGCCCTCACTGCTGACAAAATCATGCAATGTTCAGAGTTGGTAGGAGGCTCTTTATGTTACTAAGTCCAGGTACTTCACATGAAGATTTACATGAATGTGATGGGGTGGGAAATCTCCAAGCTGCTTTGGTTGCTGTGGTTACCAGGGGAATCCCTACATACCAAAATCCAATCCACACAACTGCATGGGGAATCTACCATGATGACATCATCATCCAGCCAGATGGCTCACTTACACAAATGTTATTGATTATAGATAACTCTGCCATTTCTGGCATCCTTCTGGAAGGTCAAATTCTGGTGAATGCACCACATTTTCTAACTTATTTTAGTTCCCTGCCATTGTAGACTGAAAGGGAACATTTGGAGAGTGAATATTAGGTTAGCTTAATCATGAATTGAATGCATGTAAAATACTAATGTGTAATGCAGATATACAAACAGTGACAGGACCATATGTATATGCACTGTTATGTTCAGTCTCTGAATCTGATTAGGCTTCGATTTTTTTCCAGGATTCTTCATTCCTGGATTCCCCAAGCTTCTTCGATATCAAGAACATCATGACAAAATCATGAACAAGTTCCTTCCAAAACTGAAGAAGCACTTGGACCGTAATGGCGTTGACACGGGGATCTATACGTTGAAATGGTTTTTCCAGTGCTTCTTGGACAGAGTGAGTACTTTGTAGTGTAGAGAATAATCTGCTGCATAACCTAAAGGAGAGGACTAGCAGGTTAATTGAGAAAAAGACTTGATGAGGAACTTTATAATTTGTACTCTTCATCAGATATTATTATTCCATCTATTCACCGCTTAATAGGGTATTTACTTCTATGTACCTGAGACAAACCTTGCCCCTTTGGTACATAGTGCAGCAGCTATTGCCAAAATACATTTTGTTTTTAATATGTGTTACATGTATTATATAGTTTTATTGTGAGGGGTGGCTACATATTTTACATCAGCGTCCAGTTGCTTATTATTATTATTATTATTATCCCCTCTCTTCACCTATGTACCCGAGACAGACCTTGTCCCTAAGGTACATAGGGCAGCAGCTATTTCCGGGATACATTTTGTTTTTAATATGTATTACATGTATTATATTATTTTATTTTACGACAGCGTCTTTCGAATGATGTATGAAGTTCCCAAAATGGCAGTTTTCTGAAGTTTCCTGACGTCGTGTTCGCCTGGAATGTTGGCCAAATATTTCCTGAGCGACCTGGAGACAGTTCCTGTTGCCCCTATAACTACTGGAATTATTTTTGCTTGAACCTTCCACATTCTCTGTATTTCTATGAGAAGGTCCTTATATTTCAATATCTTCTCTGCTTCCTTCTTAATCACATTTCTGTCAGTCGGTATTGCTATGTCAATTAAGAGGCAAGTTCCGTTTTTTTTCGGATTATAATGTCTGGTTTATTATTTGGGATGGTTCTATCTGTTCTGATTTGCTGGTTCCACAAAATAGTTATTTGGCCATCTTCACTTGTCTCCACTGTCTTCGGGATGTGTTCATACCAGTGCTTCTCTTCTAGCTTTACCCCAGCTTTCCTGCATATGTTAAAATGTAACTGAGTACAGACACGATCATGTTGATTATTATCATAATCATCTTGTTATTCAAACTGAGGCAAATGAGATAGACATGTAGCTCACATGGAAGAGATGAGAAATGCATACAGAATTTTGGATGGAACTTGTGAAGGAAGAAACTATTTGAGAGACCTGAACATAGATGGGAGAATTATATTAAAATGAACAAAAGTCATAGGATATGAAGTGGATTCATCTGACTCAGGATAGTGACCGGTGTAGGCACTTTTGAATATGTTATTTAACTTTTGGGTTCTATAAAAGATAGAATTTTTCCAATAACTTGAGTGGCTATTAGGTTCTCAAGGATGACTGTGCTGCATGGAGTTAGTTTGCTGATCATGTGGACTATATTAATTTAGCATGGAATAGGTACTGGTAGTGCCGCACGGTCGCTGGGACCGTGGGTTCGAATCCCACTCAAGCCATGTATGTTTGTCCATGTTTTTCTGTGTTGTGCTATCCTGTGTACAGGTAGAGGCCTTGTGACGGGCCGATCCCTCATCCAAGGAGTCCTGCCGAATGTTTATAGATCGAGCCAACGAAAAATTGGGACCCGCAGTGCTCAGGAGCTTGAAGAACGGGTCGTTCCCAGTATCCCAGTGTGATCTTGTGGATGTGTTCATTAAGCTCATGGCAAGAAATTTCTTGACTAGCTGGGAGACAGCTTTTTAAGTATTTTGTATTGCAAAGTTTATAAAATTTGTTTCTTAAGTATTATGATGCTTTATCAACTGCTAAGGTTATATAACGTTGATTAAAATTGGTAAAATGAAGGTTTAACTAACATGTTCATGGGAGCCTGCATAGAAGTCTTATGTGCTGACTCAGCAGGCCTACTATTAGGATAAAGTTGATCCTGTGTGTAATCGCTTTTACACATGGGGTTGTGGTGATAAGTTCAACACGTTAATAAACTTAGCATTAGATAGATGTGAGTGGTCATTCCCATGCTGCATGAAAATGCCCACCGATACTTCCTGAACAGGAGGCTGACCAGGCCCCAGAACTGACGTGAACATTATGGTGAGAAAAATATCTTTTCTCTGTTAGGAATTGAACCCAACTTTGAATGGTGTCCTTCTTGTAGCCAGTCACTTCACTACCTGGACCTACTTTATCAAGTTCAAAATAAAAATGTTTTACAGTAATTCAGGAAAGGAACTTAAATAATTTTTTGTTTTTCAGTTTTTTGTGCATTGTTCTCAGCAGTTGAGGGTTGTGCGAAGCAGGAACAGTATGGCAGTTCTGTTAATTATCAATATATTGTTTGCATTATATTCAGAATACATGACTTATATATTATTTTCAGATACCTTTTACTTTAACGCTTCGTGTGTGGGATGTGTATTTGTTGGATGGAGAGCGTGTTCTTACAGGAATGGCTTACAGTTTGCTCAAGATGCACCGACGCACCCTATCACATCTTGGTATGGATGAAATTCTTCAGTATTTGCAGGTAAATAGGTCTTCCAGAGAAAATAATGCAAATAGTTCCAGAAGTAAGGTACAGACAGGCATAACACAGTGAATTTTCATGTGTGAAAGCTTTGTTCTGGGAGTTGTTGAGGAGTACAAACACTTGTTTGAAGAACAAGACGAGGGTGTTAGGTTTGCACACGTCAACATGACATCCAAACCAAAATGGCAGTGATGCTGCATAGTTTAATGAAAGTAGAGGTGAGAATTGTGATTTATTTTCTGTGTGCAAAGGGTAAAACACCAGCTCAAATTCATCAGGAACTTATTGTGATATGAGGGGAACACATTTTTTAAGCAGGAAACAAGTTTCTTTGTGGTTATATGCCAGTCTCAGTATGTTGATACTGTCACAGACTTGTGGACTGAGGCTGTGTGCTGCCCCCACCCTACTGAGAAACAGCGCTGTTTTTCAGGGTCTCGCTAGAAGCACCTCCAATCACATTGAATATTCTAGACGTTTATGGAAATAGCTGTAGACATCTGGTGATGTCTGGCAGAGTTACATTACGAGTGTTATAAATTTGAGTTCAAGCAATCAGCCACTCCATTGTTGAAGTATCAAGTGAGACAATACAATAAGGAGGAGTGTGGAGTAACCAAAGCACAGAAGAAGGCATTTTTACCAGGATAACCAGGACTGTGATTTGCGGAGTGTCAGATATCAATGCAGTAAATAATCAGTTGTACTCGTAAAAGTGTGAAATAAATCCATCTTGTGTTATGAACCCACTGTGCAATCACTGATTACTTTACATTATGAATGATGAACCATGCATGGTAAGACCTCTTTTGTCCACATCATAAGACAACATTTTGTCATGTTGTAGTCCTTACCTGCGAGGACCTGTGGCTGAAAGATTGTGCAGATTGCAATCGAGCTCAACACTTCAACTTTGACGGTCCATGAAATCATCTGTGACAGGCTTGGGTATAGAAAGGTGTCAGTCATCATAATGGGTGCCAAAACATTTGACCGAATAACACAAAAACACGTGTGTGCGACTTTATTTAGAGAATCTTTTTTGCTACAGTGAGACAACCAATAGACCATTCTTGAATAGAACTATCACTGGTGATGAACTGTTGGTCCATCATGTCACACCAAAGTAAAAAGTTAACTTTATGACACGGAAGAACACCTCCTTCCTGCCAACAAAAGAATTCAAAACAGTCCCAGCCTGTAACTGTGCACATCGAATAAACTGAGGAAAGCTGTTTTTTTAAAGAGAATTGGAAAGGTGCAGGATGGTGTGCTCATGCTCCATGACAATGACGCACACGCACAGCCCAACAGACCCAGCAGTGGTTATATGGAATGAGTGGGATTTATTGCAGTGTCCCACACACACACACAGTCCTGACCTTAAACTTCCAGACACTAGTCTCTGTGGGCCCTCAATTGCAGGGCTGTGGAGTCAGGAGCAATTTTAGGTAGAGTCGGAGTCAGCAAAAATGTACCGACTCTGGCCTCGATATAAAATCTTAAGAAAATACTATTTTAACACTTTTGCTACCGTGTGAGCCATCGGCAGCCTCTCGCTTAGGGAGATTCACATGGTGTGGGAATAATGCTTTGTAACATTGGCACCAGTACATTAAGAATACAAACTGTCTACAAATAAACCGATTTCTGCAATAATCATTAGACTTGAACTTAAATAAGTCTAAAAAGTAGCCTGATGATTCACGTGGTCGTGATGAAATCTCTTATGGTACCATTTACTATTTTAGTAGCTTTACAATTATTAATACATATTGAGCTTTTATGAAGGAGTCGGAGGTTTTAGTACCAACTCCACAGCCCTGCTCAAATGGCATTTATAAAGGCAGTTATTTGTGAATGATGATGACATTGTTGTGGCAGTGATGACCTAATTATAGGTTCTTGGACATGATTTCTTTGTGAAGGTCTTTATTGCACTGGTTTCTTGCTGGGACAGGTGCCTTAATGGAGATGGTGTTTACTTAGAAAAATAATCTTACGATGCCTGTGTGTATGCAAACAATTGTATTGCTGTGTTAGTAAATACCTTGACATGGTGTCCTTTTGTACCTTACTTTTGGCACATCACACATAGAAATTCTTTAATTTCATACTAATAACTTTGAATTGTGGTGAACTTTGCCATTCCTCCAGGTACGTTTAGAACGCGAGTTTGGATTTGATGATGATACAGCGATGACAAACTTAGAAAAAGCTCTTGATGAATTGAAACGTGCCAAACTAGATTATCCAGGCCCTCCCCCGCAGCACGAGTTGCCACGACGTCCATTTGGTCTTTTTACCGAGCCAACATTCGAACATAAAGTAGGACGACGCAGCAGTGAGTTTACTGCCGCAGAAAGGACAACAAGAGAGAGTGTGTTGCTGAGGAGGGATGCTGCTGTCACAGAACTATCTGCGCCTACAACAGGCAGCAATGGTCACCAGAGGGACTCCAAGATATCTGTCGAAGGAGGGGGATTAGGTGGTAAGTATGTTATGGTAACTCATCTTTAGTTTCTTCTGCTGTAAAGTCAGATTTCTTGGACCATACTGAATCTGGTGTTTGTATGTGTATTAGAGGGTTATTGTTGAAAGATATGAAGTTTTTTTTTCCAGATAATTAACTAAAGGACTTGTTTTTGGAGAGCTGAAATATTTATGAATGTTTTTCTGACTTACGCACTATTTGAATTTCCTGCCACTAGTTTCAGTGTTGATGTGAATAAGAATGAGATGGAAAACATTGATGACATGTTTTAATGGGTGTTATGTCATATTGGTTCTGTTTATTCAGATTCTGTCTCTTCAAAAGTAATACAGTGTCTTTCATCTTGTATGAGTTCTGTAAACAATTCACATTGTGTACTTTGCCAAAGAAATTAAATTCTGTGTTCATATTGTACCCTGTGACTACAAAAACCTGGCATTGAAGCCATTTCAGTCTGTATAGTATTAGTTGTAGTTAAAGTAACACTACACTAAAAGTACACTTATTAACAAATTAATATACCAAGTAAATAACTATTGAATGATCACATTGTTCAATAACCTTCATAGATTCTCTCTCTCTTTTTTTTTCTTTATTCATATTTCTGGTAAAGCTTAGAAACTTTATGGATGTTCTGCAGAATTTTCTACATAACTTCATTGAGTGAAGAAACAGTTTATTAGAAAGATGTCCGTCTTCTGGGTTGTTGTGCTGTTTAGTCTGATAGAAATTTTCCAACAATTCAGAGGTACTTGCTGTCTCCATCATTAGGGCAATTAGTTTTTATTGTGGGGTAAAATCTGTTCATTTGCATGTGACGAATTTGACATGCCATATTTTTAAGACTACTTAGTGTGTTTTTCCTTGTTATTGTTGTCATTATTATTATTATTATGTTTATATATTTTTGAGTTTTATTATTGATATGTTGTTAAAAGTGATCCCACTGAAAAATATTGTGATTAGCTTTTTATGCCATAGTAACCAATTTGCTAGAGGGAATGAAATGGCTGATTGTAAATAAAAGCTTGAGCATGCTTGCAAAGGATGAATTTGCATGGAATGCCTGTACAATCTAAAATTATAGTCCAGGAATCACAAATGCAATTCTAACATAATTACAATGGCAGTGCTGATGTTGGGGTCAAAGTTATTTGCTAAATGACCGTAACAGTGAGTAAATTGCTGCATTGTGTTGTTATTCATGTAGATACTAGTGTTTTTGACACCTTCATGTTATGTTTTCTTTGTTGTACTACCCATCATATTTCAGTCTCAGAATATATCAGTGTTCTGCCACAAGGTTATTTGGGTATTTTGGAAGTTTTTATAAGAAGTTGTATATTTTCACATTATATGTAGAAAAAGGCAATTTTTTCATAATTAGAATTTGTAATAAACACACTGGTTCTCCATTGATAGTTTTATTCACCTTGTGTTATATTTTGTTTTTTTATGTCTCCATTCTTATAGGGCAATGTGTAGATACATATTTGTGGCCATGTGTTGGTTTGTACAACCTTTTTGATTGGAACATTTTTGTGGTCTTTGACAAATTAGGGTGTGCCACAGGTTAAAAAAAAAATAATGTTGCAGAACACTGGAGTATAGATTTCGTGCATGTGGGATCTGTTATGAAGTCCCCCTTACTGGCATTTCACACTTCCTTGCTTTCAATAGCTGTTTAGTCTGTAGACAAAGTCAGTGACTTCATGTTACTCAATTGAAAATTTGTGGAAGGAATTAAATTTCCAGGAATAAAATATTAACAATGCCAAGGTTGCCAAAATTCCTGGTTTTTAAAATAAATTCTTTCTGTTATTTTATATATAATGAAACTATTACTTAAATATTCTGTGCTAATAAAAATAAAAAATGAATGAATGTACCATATGAAGTTCTGGAAGATTTGTTCCTTACTGAATTTTCAGTTGATGAGAGGTTAACACTTGTAAGTATCATCATGACATATATATATAAAAGAGAGAAATGATAAAACAGAAAAACTGAGAAAATTGTGCAATAAGCAGTTTGATATTTTGTGTTTTTTTACACATCACAACCATGAAGATATATAGCAGGGCCATTCAAAGTCTGGTCCACAGACTTCATATGGCCCATGGCCATTTTCATTGCAGCCTGAGTAGCCTCAAAATGTATGTTAATGAACGGAATATCTTGTGTCAATATAGTAGAATTGTTTTATAAATACAAGATTTGTTAGTTAAAGAAGAAATTAAGCTCACATTTTTTATGAAGAAGACAAAGGAATCAGATGTGGTGAATGCAGGCTGTGATAAGCCAGATATTTGCTGAGAAAATTAAATCTTTTACAAATGGACAGCTTATAAAAGTGTGCATAGTAATGGTTTCCATAAGACAGAATGTCATCAGTTCCAAGACCTTTGGCAGGCAATGAATCAGATTATGATAATTGTAAAGTACTTCTGTGATGTTTGTTGGCATAGTAAAACTGACGTGGTGTTGTGCGTATAATGTGCTGAAAGAAGTAAAATTGATCTTAGAAATGAAGAACACAGTTGTGGAGTTTTATGATGAAGAATGGAAATGTGATTTTTGCATTTTCAGTGGACATTATACAACACGGATGATCTAAATTGGAAACTTCTTGGTAGAGGAAAACATATTGGTGTTCAATTTTCATTTTTCAAAATTTTTTGGACAGAATTAAGACTTCAGGTGTTACAAATCAGAAATTGTAATGTTATGCATTTTCAAGCTTAAATGAATCATATGATTTCTGAAAAGGAATTTGTGAAGTACACAGAAAACATTACAAATATTTGGAAGATTTACAGAAAAGATTCAGTGCCAACCAGAACTACCAACTAGAAGCTCTTGAGTATGCTTCCTTTCCATTCAGCATTAATGTTGACTTGGTTTCTAAAAAATTTTAACTGGAACTAATTTTGACTTTCAGTGCAACATATCTTTGAGAAAGAAGTTCAGGGATATTATTAACATAACATTTTATAAATCCTACCTGTCTATAGAAGAATGTCCACAACATTTCTTATGCTAGCAAGATCATAACCATGTTTGGTATCATTTACAAGTGAACAACTCTTCTAATAAATGAACAACACAGAAAATAAGCTCAATCTTCTGTGAGTGACAGTCATTTACAAAATACTCTCCATGTGGCAAAATGATATATATAAGTGGACGTAGTTTGTTAGTACAGGTGAAACCAGTCCATCCATCCCATTGAAATGTGAAACTATCAACATTATTCTAAAAATGCACAATTAACTGTGTATTTCTTCAGTAAATCTACATTAAAAAATTCCACCAGTAATGTTAAACAAAGAAGATGTTTTATTGTTATATTTAAGAACTCACTTGTTGCATAAAAAGTAATGTGTGGTGAAACATGTTGTTTTGTGTTTGGGTGATCAAGACAGAGTGAATTTTATAGAGTAATTATCATAATTTTTAAATTAAAAAGTAATGTTAATACAGAATGGTGTTTTCTTACAAGAATTGCTGAGTACAAATTAATGTGTGCTGAAATGTGCAAATTCATATTTTTTATTCAGTGACAAAAAAACAGCACATATCATAATTATAATACACGAGTAAAACTGTCATGTGACCTTTTGATGTGAAGCAATGTTTTGGAAATGTTTTGGTGATGTGCAGTTTTATTTAATTGCAGGTAAGATTCCTTATTCTTAATGTTATTGGCTATAAATTGGGCTTTAAATATGTGCATTAACATGCATGCACATGTGCCTTTTATGTGTACACGTGAATTTCTGTGAAATGTGATTTATGTGTTTGTCATAACCTTTATTCATATAATATAAATTTATTGTCTACTAATCAAAAAATAATGCAGCCTAAAGTAGTTACTACAATCTTGATTTTGGCTATGCAGATGGTTTGCATGACCCTACCATATAATAACGTAATGGAATGGCTGAATGTGACTAGAAAGCTAGGTAAGACTGAATTTGCATGGAATGCCTATGGAGATTAAAATCTATGTACAGAAATGATTGATACATTTTGTGCCTTGACACTAGGAGCTTGAGTCTTCAGCCTTTTCATTGCAAGATAAGAGCATCCAGTATTTACTGGTTCAGAGACAAAGTTATAACAAAGTGAATACGTCTGTTAGTTCCAGATTGTTATGAAATTTTATGTTAAAGAATTCTTGTTTAGATTGTGGACAAAAGTTATACTTTAGTTCATACTGATAAATCATATCTGTGACTTTAGTTTAAAAGATACATTAATTTCTAAACATATTTATTAAATGCCCGCTAGAGAACATGGTCACATGAGCTTAAAGTAGACTTACTCGTGGAAACCTGAATCACTGACAGTATTGAATACACTTTATTTTAACTTCATAACAACAGTGCATTTTCAGATTTTTAAGCAATATAAATATAAATAAATATAAATGCCTTTATAATATCAATTTTAAGCACATTTAATACATGTTGGGAATGCCATGTTTAAGATCTTTTGGTTTGTCTCACTCTGTTTAGGCACAATTTTTGATAACTTATTCAAATGGACCATATCGACTTATTATTCATATTCATCTTGTGATTTCTGATTTGGTACAGATTTTGCGTGTCCTGTAAAACGCCAAACTGTTAGGCACCTTCCAGGAAGCAAGGTTTCCCTTAGCCATATGTGGCACAAAGTAACTCCGTTATTATGTCAAGAAACATTTTTGTTGTAAATTATTTTCAAAAAAAAACAAGGTTCCAGGGACAGGCCACATCATGACTGGTACTTCAAAAACAAGAGCCGCACTCTTCCATATCTCTCCCAGCCTTTAACATTGCTGCTACAGCATTGGCATTATTTTATTTTATGTTTATCTTTTGCAGAGTTTCTTCCAAATTTTAAGCATTGGGCTTTACAGAGTTCTCACCAGCGTGCAATGGTGAACAGGGGCTCTATTTCACATTGACAAAATGCAAGCATATGGCGTATCTTGTCCGCCACACCATAGCTTGAGGCTGAGGTCTTGACCATTTCAGAATGTGAATAATGCTCCTGTGTAATGGCATCCTTTTGATTCTGAGCCTAACTCCAAGTTTCCCATGCCAGAATCTGTTGTACCTTTCCTGTATTGAGAAGCATGGTCTTGCATCATTTGAACAGGTGATGTGGCAGATTTGTTTTGTTTCTCTGGATTATATCATTTTAAACTTCACAGTGATCAGAAGCAATGAGAATTTTGTGGTTTCTGGTCTGTGTTGCAATGGAATAGGATTTTATTGTTTCAAAAGCTATGTCTGCTTCTGTTGAGAAACAATGCAGTAAAATAGAATAAATGAATTAGTATGTATTTCCCAGATTGAAAGTGGAGGTAGAGAAGGTGTGATGAGAACAGTTTACTGTATGCAAGCCAGTAATAGGTTTGTTTGCTGACTTAGCTGAATGTTGCTTGGCTTCCTTGGGTAGACGGATCTCAGTATTGGTAGTTAATGATCTGATTTAGTGCCTTGTTAAGCCACCTCATTGAAGGCACTTGTGCTGTATTGTTTTGCTCGCAGCAGACTGTTCTGATTCTACCTGGGATTTGAAGTGTTCATGGTGTTGTGAGCTTTGATTGTGGTTATCTGGGTTGTTGTGCCAAAGGGTCTTCTGGTTTGCATGGCAGTACTTCGGAGAAACGTGCTACATCCATCTTCAAGGTGAAGTGAAGAGGGGTAAGAAGTTGATGAATTGGCAGTCTCCTGTGCTTCCTGGCCCAATCATCCATATAGCCCCATTGATTTATCAACTTGTGGCTCTCCTTTCTTTAATCCTGAAGTTGGAGGCAAAATGTTGCTTTGAAATGTTCACATACAGTGAGAAGAATATATGGCATAACAACCCAGAAGACCGCAGTCTGAATGCTGATTCTACCCTTCCACCCAGTCTTAGGGATATTTGCTTCATGTATTCCATTGTTGACATATTTCTCAGATTTTTCATCTGAAATGTTTAAATTCTATTTCACTGCAGCACGGTTGGTCCTTAGTGTTGTATGTTTGTATTTTCACAGATACGACTAATTTACATGCTGAGAAGGATTATGCCACATGTAACACACAAAAGGGTGAGATGAGAATAAAATCATAACTAGCCATTACAATCTTAGGTAACATTTGCAACATGAATGGCCAAAACAGTGCTGTTAGAAATACGAGTTATTTGGCTGTTTGTGTACTTTTATATTTTTTGGGTGCAACATAATGCTTTTTTGTTTTATAATAGACTACTTTGTTTTAGGCTTAAGTGTTGCCATGATCCATGTTTGAGTGTTGTTTCCTCTCCTTTGTAACTTCTGCATGAATGATGCGTCATTATGTGTTCATTGTGCCTATATCAGCGTTTGACAGACCAAGTTATTTAAAAAATTTATGAAGATCAATCTTATCATTTGTGTATGAAAGTGGTACAGAATCCCAATTATTCTGATCATTGTAGACGTTATGAAACTACAGGATTTTACTCGGTTTGTTGAATCCAACCTGCAGAATCACAACCCATTTCCATTTTAAAATTAAGCTGCCTTATATGCTTTGAAACTGAACAGGTTGGATGTAATATCCTATCAGACTTGTTTTTTGGAGGAACCCATTTTAATGCCTGGTTGTAAGAGGGTAGTATGACAGGATGCAGATACTTTTATATGTCAACCACTTTAAATCACATTTTCTATATTTAGTAACTACATGGTATGAAACAATATAAATTATGACTTGTTTATTGTAATTTTTACTAGACCTTCCTTGCAATAGCTGGAGTATTATCCTGAAGCAGACCACAGGTGAGCTTTATAATTTGTCATTGACATGACCGTAAAATTTCCACTGCATAATCGTGACATAAATTTGGCCTGTTTTCAGTTTTTTATACATTTATTACTTTTTCTCATATATGCTGATGTTCTGTGGTCAAATTAAGTGAACTGGATGGCTCATTCAGCAAATTATTGGCTGTATGATGCACAACCAGGCTTTAATTCCCAGCAAAGGTAGTGCTATTTATTTTTGCCATGACCAGATTGGCTCTGGGACCCACCATCTCTCCTATCCTGTAGGTATGGGGGGGGGGGGGGGGGGGAAAGCATTTTTGATCATAAAGCTGACTCCACACCTCTATCTAGTGCTGAGGTTAAGAATGTGTAGAGCTCTTCTTCCACTCTGCCGTGGTGTTTAAGCATTGAAATAACTTTACTTATGGTCTAAGTACTGTGTCAGTACCATGCTAAGGTAAGTTCTGTCTGCTCTGTACTTGATGTTTCTTGGGCCATGACACTTTATTTCTGAATACTTCAATGCCTGTTCATTTCTGTTAATAAGATGGTATTTTTCCCAGCCATAAAATGCAGAAGTAAAATGTTGGGTTTTAAACATTTTCATGCATAATTCTTCTGAAGAATAAAAGGGTGGTGGGAAATTTTAGAGTTGGATATTAGCATGGACATTGAAGTAAAAGAATCGCTTCAAAAATTTATTCATATGTTGTTGAGCCAGGGTAGCTCAGTCGCTATACTGACTATGGACTGGATGACCGGAGTTCAATACCCGACAGGGTCAGATGATTATTCCTCTAGCCTGTTTGTCCAAATTGGCTCTGGGGCCCACCCAACCTCCTGTCAAATGGGTACGTGGGATTTTCCTGGGGGTAAAGCATGGCCTGGGCATTACAGTGACCACTCACTGCTGTTTAGTGCCAAGGTTAAGAATGAGTAAGAGCTATAATTCCCCACCCCCAAGTGCCTTTATGGCATGTAATGGGACAGCCCCCCCTTTTTTTTTTGGTCCTTTGAAATATTAAATACTTGACACAGACTTTGGGTAGTTTTCTTCTTCTTGTGAGCTAAGAATTGCATGGCATCATTTTTAAAAATTGTAGGTATTTCTTAATTACAAGGTTTCATCATTTGACATTTTGTAAATATAGGCATGAGAATATGTAGCATGAAAACGTAACATGTAGTAAAGTTTTTACCAATCTTTACTTTTTACTGAAAGCAAGAGTGAAGCATGTTTTTGTATGATGAAGCTTATTCTAGAGTTTATTCTAGAGGCTAATATGCCAATGGACAGTCTTACAAGTGCATTATTTGACTTCATTCTTAGGTATTCTTTACACTTTTGTGTAAGTCAAGAATACTTCATGGGCCCATTCATGTGTGTGTGTCCGTTTATCTTTTGACCAGGAGATCTCATGCTGTCATCTGTCAGTGACATTAAGAATTAGTTTTGGTCATATAATAACTTGGGAATGGATGATTGGATTTTCATGAAATTTGGTAAAGAGATTTTGCCATTGGAGCTTTGTCTGCAGTCATACTTTTTAATTTCATACAATTGGTAATACCAGTGTGATAAATGCTCTAAGTCATGAGACGGAACAATGAGATTGCTGTTCATTGTCTGTCATCCTCTGCACATGCGTGATAATGTCATTGGCCTTGATGAAGGTCATTTCTGGTGATTTCCATAATGAAATTTGTTATGGACATTATTAATATCCTATAATTGTTAGTACCAATGTTATGGATGCGTGAAGTCATAAGGTTGGACATTGGCACTGTTACCATACTTATTTCTAGATAGAGTATACATAGAATGTGGTATAAAGAACACCTTTGGAATCATAACTGTACTCCAGAAGGACACTTCACAGTTTTGTTAATGTAGTTGCTATTTGAATGTGGTCATTTTGCATTTGATGAGTTCAGAAGGAATTGCCACACAAACTTTATTACCTGATGTATCTCGAATTACTGGGTCACCTTATTTTTTGAATGAACTGTTGTAATATTAGTCTTCCAATTATAGTAAACATTTGAACTCATCAGTCAAGTGTGTTATGTGCTGTAACTTTGAAATCTCAAAACTGCTTCTACATCTAAATTCTAGTTCGTACTATGATGTTAACATGCTTAGTATACATGTTAATATCGCAGTAAAAGACAAATGTCTCAGCCATGTGGTTATCACCCCTGCTTTGTATTCAGAAGATCCCAGGTTAAAATCTTTTCCCAGATGCCAATTATCCTGATGGAGGTTTGTCATGGTTTTAGTCAGTCCCTCCAGACAAATGTCAGGTAGTGACTTAAGTTAAGTTACTGTCACTTTCATTTCCTTATTAAGTCATTCATTATTCATTAATCATCGTGTTATTTAACACTGTATAGTCTGAGCTGCTGACAGCTGTAAATAAATGAATCACAGTACAAAAGAAGTAATTCTTCTGAAACTTTATTAAAACAACAAATAATTGAGTGCTGACAAAGTTTATGCATACTCCCTGGACACCCTTATATCCTACATAGGATGCTTACATTAATATTTTTAATTCAGCAGTAATACAGCCATAGCTCAGTTGGCTGGATGCTGGCTTTCTGCCATGTTGACCCAGGTTCAGTTCTGGATGACTTCAAGTAAGATCTGTTGTAGGCAAAATGGGACTGGAACACGTTTCTGTCCAAGTTCTTTGGTTCTACCCTGCCATTTATTATTCCTCCACTGCTCATCTGTCAGCACTCCATAAGGTGTGCAGCAGCCTTGGCTAAGCAGTATATTATCATGCCCTGAGTACTAAGTTAAGGCTTCATCTTTGACCTGACACTTGGCTGGCATCAAAATAAAAGTAATTTATTAATAAATTACTTTAAAAATAATGTCAATCTAGTAAACCAGTAATGAAGAGATAGCCTGCAGAGGTTAACAATGGCATACAATTCACTAACCTGAAACTGCCCTCTTATTTTCAGGTTCCAAATTCTCATTTGACCCAAGTATAGATGATGCAAGTTCCTTGTTGGACTGTCATCATAGCAGCTCCAGAAGATCTTTAGCAGATACCAGTGTCACCTCTACTGCTGACCTGTCAGTATTCTCTACAACTACTCGCTCACAGGCTCTTGACAATAGCTTGGACACTCATAGTAATGCGTCAGATGGCAGTGGAGGTGCCGCTAGTTCTGGTGGGTCTGGGGTCGGACATTCTGGCAGCATACAGCGAGGTCCGTCAGCTCACTCCACTCCGCGCACTACTCCCCATGCTCCCAGTCCAGACATCGTAAGGATATATGTACCATATGCATCATCATCCCCCACTCCATCTCCTTCGCCGCAGAATGGCGATGTTCCTCGATCTTTGCCCCGTCCTCTTCCTGATCACAACAAGATCCGGATCCACATAGACACTCAGGAGGAGCAGACCCCAGTTGTCGAACATGGACAACTTATTAGACCCTTCCATATTGACAGTCCAGAAATAGATTTGAAATAAGAATTATATGCAGTGTGCAGTGGTGGTATTTTGTCTCAACGTAAGGGAATGTGGGCAGTAAAACTGGCTTCTTCCCTTGTGCGACTTAAAGTAGGAATTTTACGGGCAGATTTGTAATCAGATCTTGCATTCCCAGAGGCCTACATTAGGGCAATAAAATTTTGCCAAACTTTTTCTATTGGAAGCCTATAAGTATCTACGACTTGAGTGGCTTCTGTGAATTGAATTTATTTGTTACTATGCACTAATTAATGTTACTCACAATGTAAGGTATATTTGTGTGTGTGAGTGTGTGCAGATGTGTGTTTGAAAGCAAGAAAAATATTACTAAATGGACTTCGTAGTAATATTTAGCCTTTTGTTCTAAAAAATCTTCCATTCCATATTCATTGTGCTTTCATTCCATGTTGACTCGGATAGTCTCACAATGTGTCTTGTGTTTTTCATTTACTCAGAGGTCACGCAATATACATGTTTCTTTATTTTTTTCAAAACATATGTTTGTAATAAAATACATTATTCTACTTCCAAATAGTTAACATATTGTCTAGAATTTTAATGAACTGTTAGGAGACTGCTTTCCAAATGATTGTATACTTAATAATACCTGCCATATTTCCAAAGAGTTATTTTGTGCCTTGGTTAAATGTGTATCGTACATAGGCTATATTAACAGATACTTTTTCACAGTTATAATGAAGTTACAGATTTACTTTTGTTGCCTATTTACTGTTTTATAATTGAACAGTAAGAATCAATAGTTGTGTAGATGGAAGATTGCATATAACATTGATGCAGTTAGAAAGTAAATGAAAATTGATACTTCATTTGGCTGTTTTCAACAGTGTTGAATCCTGTAAATAAATAATGCATTTAGGATTGGGTGGTGAAGGGACATAGTCATTTATTTACATCAGTGGTTCTTATACTGTGTCCTGCAGAGCAATTGGCTCCTGTGAAAGAGTCCATATGGTTTTGGATGAAAATGCTAAGTTCTTAATTTACTAACTTCAAGATCCAAATTGGGAAGAATATGTTTAAGTTGTATAATGTATGTGGTTCACAAAACATGTGTGAGTTTGTTTTATTCATCAGAAATATTGCAGTGAAACGCAGAAGTCACTGTATTAGTGTTTTGTTGTTGGAGATAAAACTGAAACACTGGTAATGATATAAGATAAAGTTGTAAAAATTATATATTGAGTTAAGTCACATCCTAAAATTAACTTTATAATTCACTGCAGTGAAATGTATTGTCTTACAGTACCTTCAACAAAAGGGCTGTCTCGAAATCTGTGATTCATATATTTAAACTTAGAGGGCAGTAATTTTTGCAAATGTTGGTACTTCTGTATTAACAGAGTTCTGCTGTGGTAATGAAAAATTGCAGAACTATAAAGTAAATTAATTCCACAGTTTTTCAGAGATAATACTTCATTCTGTAAGAGTCATGGAAGTGGCTTAATATGCATACAGTTACATTTTAAGTTGTGTCCTAGATCAGTTCTTTGCTTTGTACATTTCATTTAGACCATAATGGAATAGGTTATATTTTGTAACTGTATGAAATGAAAGTTAATTTAGAATTATACAAGGATTGCCTCCTGATTATTTTTATGATTTCTGTTCATGATATTTTATAATGTATTTGTTAACTCAGCAAGACATTTTGCAGTTTTCACATAACACTCTTCTTTACCTTGAATTCTTTGCTGCCAATTTGAGTCCTATCATCATGAAAGCAGAGGTGATTCTGCATTCTAAGCAGATGGAAGTCAGACAGCAATAACTTGACTCTGTAGAAGCATCGTTACTTCTATAATGCAGTAAATATGAAGAATATTAAATATATAAAAATACGCATCAGTAAAGGAAGTGAAGCTAATAATGTGTAAAATATTGTTAACCATTGTAGGTTCAGTATAATTTTGGTTTCTGTGTTGAATGTTGAGTATTAACTGAAGTTTTGGCACCTCCTTTCATCAACCACATGTTCCTTTTCCTATTGGATAGAGGTTTACATCTTTGCTCCACCAATCAGCATCATCAAATCAAACTCGCCACCCACTGTCTACCATATATAAGGCTTCCAGAACTTGCCCCACTGCACACTCACTCTGAAAATAGCAACTATAACGTTCAGTGAAACATTGGTTAATACTCAATATTTGATGTGGCTCACACCCAAAATCTGAAGTTATAAATTGAACTACAGCCATGAAAGCCTAAAGACAAGAACTGTAGGCTTATTTTACAGTATTACATTTTTGTGGCAATACATGTTTGCTTTAAAGTTCATGTGTGAGCTTTTATAGTGTGTTGCAGAAAAATTAAATTTAAAAATTATAGTAAAAAATTTGTGTGTGAGGCTGAGGAGTTTTTATGATTCTGACTAGATTTATGTAGCTTAAAAACCCATTCAAAACTCCTGAAATTGTCATATTTAAGTTTGAATATATTACTTTTGAGGCAGCCCTTTATGAACTTCTGAGATGAATACGTATCTTAATGACAGCTGAGACAGAATAATGAATTGGTCTCAAAAGTTTTGTGACTTTTTGGTTAATTACATCGCAGGTTTGTTTGACATTGTCCATTGTGTGGCATACAGTGAGTGGTACTTACAGTATTTCAGGAGTTGGTTCTACTCTAATCTTCTTGTGACAGGTTGTCATTATACTGCCATATTTGTATTTTTTATTTTATTTTAGAGATAGTGGCAACAGTTGGGGTTTATTAGGCTCCCTTTAAATACTAGGCTTCTGTGCTAACCACTGGTTAGTGTACAAGCCTTTCACCTGAAGACAGGATTAGAGTCAACTCTCATGTATATGAAATATGCCTCAGGTAAAATAATGAGGTCTCTTCAAAATGTTTCCAGATTTGTTTTCAGTTTTTATGTGACTGAATGAAAGAAATTGTTGGCCTCATGGTGACTTGAGGAGTTGTACTCATTGAAACGTGTGCACCGGCAGTGGAATGGATAGCTTCTTCAATTATATTTTCTTTGATATAATACTACATTTACTTGCATTGTTTCCTACTGTCCTTATTTATATTTGGACCATGAAGTCATTGATGTTATTGTGTGTGTGATTAATTTCCACTGCTTTCACTTAGCCGTAGTTTGTTTTAGGATTTTTTTTTGTAGGAAGGAAATTGTATGTCAGCAATTATTTTCTCTCATCCTCAATACACATCTTCTGTGACTGGAACAGCCAGCATCTTATGGTTCCAAGGTCACTGAAGATTTCAGAAATCATTCAGCAATAAATCACTCAAATAAGATTATTAATTTTTAAATGTTGTGAAAAATATTCGATCATGAAATAACAATTTTCACTATCTGTGGGAAATTTCCTTGTATTTCTCTCCTCTTCTACATTCTAAGAGTTAAAAATTGGAGAATACAAGAGGAAGTTTGTCAGTAACTGTGGTACACTTCCACAAAAACACATATTATGAGCTCACTAGACTGTTTATGACTCATCGTTATGGGACCTCTCAAACCTCATATATGCCACATATCCTTGTTGCAGCTCGCTGCTTGCGTTATTCTTGTTTTCGTATGTGGAAAAAATGGTCAATATTCATAATTATTTACGAAGTAATTTAAGAGCAATACCAAACATCAGCAGTTTTATGGCTTTATGTTTCACAGCTGTGTGGAAGACATAATTTTAATGTTGCATATTATTGAGCAAGGTAAAGAGGGATAATGCAAGACAATTTAATTTCTTAATTAAAATTTGAATTTGGAAATAATGGTTTAAATTGAATGATAGCTCACAGATTGTGACTGGGAGAATAATTGGCAGTGTCAGTATGCAGAGAGAAGGTTATGCAATTTTGAACGAGTTTTCCAATTTATTAAGCACCTGAAAGTAATATATGTGTTTTAGGTAAGTCTTTCATATGCTTTTTCCTTTAACCTTGATTTTGCTGTAATTGATATTGTAGAAATAGTTTGTACAGCTACGAAGTGGCACATTAAATCTGGTGATGAAACTTAGCTTCAGTAATTTCTGATGATAGCAACCACTGTCAGCTGCCTACAGAAGACTAACTTGAAAGTGGTTACACTGTGCCTTTCGGATAGTTGTTGTTTGCATTCTGTGTAATCTTGATTTTTTTTTTTTGTACCCAAACAGCATGCATAATGAGCCAGCGTTGCTCAGTCATTATAGTGACTGGCTATGGACTGGACGACCGGCGTTCGATCCCCAACGGGGGCAGAGGATTTTTCCTCTATCCTCTGCATCCAGACCGGTTCTGGGGCCCACCCAGCCTCCTATCCAATGGGTACCGGGATCCTTTCCTGGGGGTAATGCATGGCCAGGGTGTGATGCTGACCACTCACCCCTATCTAGTGCCAAGGTCAATGAGTATGAGCTATACACCTCTCCCTGCAAGCGCCTGCATGGCGTATAATGGGACAGCTTTACTAAACAGCATTCGTAATGTAATAGCCTGTCAAATAGAATTTGTAGATTTTGTGTATATAATTTATGACTTAGTGAGTAATGTTAGAAACATAAAAAAATAATTTTTGTCTTAATGTGAATTGACAGCAAGTTGAAGTAGTCAGAATGCTTCATTTTAAGCTCCTGTTTAAATGGGAGTTTTTGTAAAATAATTTAATAAAATGATGGTTGCATATTTTTCTGCTGATATTAGGTCATGATATATGAAATGGGCACACATAAAGCCACAATACTGATGTTTAGTGTTCCTTCTTATGTTCTTGTGTCATAACGCCATAATACGCGGATAGTACTGCTGATGTTGAAAGTTGATCCAGATACCAGATCATCCGGAACAGAAAAATATGTACTGCATGGAATATTTCATTGTAAGTACTTTCTAATCAACAGATCACGAAGTAATAGCTGCGTTAACAACTTAGAATAATATGAAAGCCATTCATAGAATGCTGCTATTGAAAAATCGTGTCCTTAATATGGCCATTTCAGGCCCTAAATAAAATAGGTGCTTTTCGGGGTCTCTATAACTTTTAAATCACTCTTTTTAGTGGTGATTTCTCAGATACAGAGAATTGTATAGGTAATATAGGTGATTAAGTTTGAACCAAATGTTGTGCCTGATTACATGGTGTGTCTGTCTACCAATGTGCTAGTGTCACCTACTAGGATGTAAGTCTGCATAGACTTGCATGTGTGCGTATGTGGATGTACATAAACACAATGTAAATATAGAATTTTTGAAATGAAGTAGTGTACAGTGTACTGAAGTATGGTATTTAAACCAGTATTGCTGCACAACTTCTTTGCAGTTGCTGCCATCTTTTTTATGGACCTGTCAATCTATTCTCATTTATGTGTAATAGTGTTAAAATGTTCCAGACTTCTGTTAGCAGTCATTAGTGTATATTGTTAGTGCTGAAGAGTTCAATTGGAATAATTTTTCTTCCAGGAGGGAACTTGTTAGTGGGTGGCAAGAGACAAAAAGCTCGACTATTGTACTGTGGCAGAAATTATATTTAGTCTTGTTTCAAGATGAATGCAATATTATAAGTGGACAAGAATTGTTAGATATGTCTTATTCTTTATGTCCATATTAAATGTAGGTAGGGTTACCAACTGAAATTTCTAGGAATTAAGGGATGTTTAGCATGATTATCAATGTTTCTCATAATTTCTGGTTTATTATGCATAGTATTTCAGGAGTTTGTTCTCTGCTGTCTTAGGATGACGTATTGCCTTAACCACAACTAGATCACTTCAGTGACCTAGTGGTAGCATTCTAGGGTTCTGTACTTGAACTTGTACATTGTTACATATATAAAATAAAATAAATTATTAATAAGACAGAATATGTGAATGGATTGAACTCCCAAAGTTTTATATTCTACACTCAGTGGAGAGATTCCAGTATTCGACATACATAAATACAACTATTCAGAGAAGATGTCCGCAGAATAAACAAACCAAAACATTGAGTTCAGAATGTCGGAGGCAAGCAGAGAGTAAAGTGTATAATATGGGTTCAGAGCACTCAAAATAATGAAACATAAACACGTATTCACAAGTTTCCACAGAAAAAATGCCACTAG